TATGGAGGGATGTACTGTGCAGTTTTTGACCCTTCAAGTAGGAAAAGCTTATATTCAACAGAGATAATTCCAAACTTTTTGTAGCTAGAAGGCGTATTTCATTTTAAAAGTGGTTGAAAAAAGTCTCTTGTTGATTTTACAGCTCGTCAGTTGTGTCCGCTGGAGTGCTTCGGGTGTTTGGAAGAGAGATCGCTGAACTTCCTCTAGTGGCAACGAGAATGGGTAACCATGGAAAGGTGAGGTTTTTTTTCTTTTTCTTCAGTAAAGATTGGGATTGTAGGCCACCTACTTCCCATGTTTTCAAAATTATTTTTATTGTTGATATGTTACAATGCTACTCTGCCCTTAAGTTAGTTGATCCTTAAGCATCATGAATTCAAGTTTTTGGTAAATTTGAAGATGCAGATAGCATATCCACGTACATTTGTGTATGGTAGGAGGCGATGGCTGGGGAGGGTCCTCTTGTCTTTCTGTTGTTAGTGTCAGTTTCCTTTTATTCATTTTTTGTATGCTTAGAGTTTGCTGAAATAGAATGAACCTTTCCTATCTCGAATCCAGAGAGTTTGTTATTTAAACACCATCACAATGTCTGTTCTCATCCCTCACATTATTACTGAAGTTTACTCTCTTTTTTATGGTGACAGGGCTACTTTCAGCTGTTATTCTCCTGCATTGAGAAGCTGCTTTCGTTCTTGAATGTCGAGAGCATTGTGCTTCCAGCAGCTGAGGAAGCAGAACCCCTATGGATAAACAAATTTGGTTTCAAGAAGATACAGCCAGACCAGGTAACACATTATTCTTGCCAAAGAATTTGATTCTGTCCAATTATTTCAAGATTTTCAACTTACTATGAATGTCCCTCCATGCACAAGTCTGTCGGACTGAAAACACTGTAATTGCAGCAGTTAGGATTCTAAGACTAGGCTTTTGATTACAATTTAAATAATTCATTTTGACCAATTATTCAAAAGTTAAAAATATGTGGGAAGAACTAACTAAACATTTATGGTTCTTACTTGTAAACCTGATATTACAGTTTATTTGATTTCCATGTAACCTAAACTTTCCATTGACCCTCTTTGGTTCAGCTTAATCAATACAGAAAGGACTGCTGCCAGATGATGAGATTTAAAGGGGCATCAATGCTGCAGAAAGCAGTTCCTCCATGTCGAATTATTTCTAGGAATACAGGGTCTGTAGAACCTGTTATCCAATCGGAATCTACAGAATCCTGTGCCAAAGAAACCTTATGACAAAAAGGTTGAACGAACAAGCCAATTTTCAGAAGTGCCATATCATTTCATTCTATGTTTCAGTCTCTTGTATGAAAAGAAAACTCAACCCCTTCCCTCTCCCCAGAAAAGAAAATTAATATATGGGCATGGACAGGATATACGAGTTCTCATTTTTTTAAGTCTGAAGTGAAATGAGTTCTTTGCAGAGAGCGGTTCGTTCAGATTTTACTGGTTAGCTCAACTTGATTCTTCTCTGTTCCAAGACTACCAGTAAGTCAAGGTAATTGACCTTTTGATTATGAGGTGGTGTTGGATGTGTACTGAGTACCAGTGCTAATTGTAATATATAAAAATACAATTCTCTCTCTCTCTCTCTCTCTCTAGGAAAAAAAATTATTACAAATGTATTCTCTATTGTATTTTGTTAAGTTTACTTCAAAAAAAATTTAAAATGTGGACATAAATATTAGAAAGATTGTTAGTTCTGGTAAGGGTTAATAGTTACTAATTAAATGGTATTTCGTAATAAGATAAAACAAGATATTGTTTCCATAGTTGTAGTCAAATAAAAAATTAGTTTTTGCAAATTAGAAAGAAATTTTTTATATTATCAAGAAATTTCCTATAAAGATTCGTTATGTGAAGTCACTTCCAGCTTAATACTACTGGGAGCAGTTGCTTTGCTTTTTCCATCTTAACAAGTGGGTTATCAAAACCAATACAAAACACCATGTAATGGAAGCACCAATAATTTGAAATAACGTGTGCTTGAAGAAATCTTAAAAAGCACATGCAGTTTAGTTTAGCTTAGCACCTGGCTTAGGTTAGGTGGTTTCTGGTTTTATTAGACGACTAGACCAAGCAACACTCACCGGCCAAAGAAAGATATGATCAGAGCAACGGATTGGAATTGTCTCCAGCACATTGCCTATTTGACTGACTCTATTGGTATTATTCAGCACAATAAAATTTATATAGTAAAAATTTTACGTGAATATACAACTAAATATAGTCTTTAATCTTTGAGAAAAAGAAAGTAAACACTCACCAACTGTTATGCTTCTATAATTTCGAAAAGGATAATCACAACCCAACAGAGTTTCCCAAGGTTAGCGTGTATATCTTCCAACCTTTCTACGTTCTATGCCCCCCTCCCCATTCTCTCCAATTAATTTAATTTTTTAGTCTATCTTTCTACTTTCTAAAACTGTAAGCAGTAATCATCAACACATTAATGCCCGTACATTTCTTACCCCCCACGCCAATCATCATCAACCCCCTCTCTCTACAAAATATAAACAATGCCCTCCTCAACCCCCCCCCCCCCCCCTCCCTCCCTCCCTCCTTCCCCCTAGAACTCTTTGTTCTCTCGTTACTCACAAAATTCCCTAAACAAAACACCATGAGAACCAAAACAAATTCCTCTTGGCTTTTTGCCTTTGCCATTGCACTCCTCTCAATCATATTAGCTCTATATTCCGTCCTTCCTTCCTCCATGACCAACATTGTTGTTAACACTACTTCTCATAATACCCTGGACTTGTCTGTTATTAGAAGTGTTGCAAGACAAGGCGGCATGGAAGATTTCTTATCTCTTTTAATGAAGATTATGTTGAGAAAGCACCATACTAGAATGCAGTATAAGATTGAATGTGATGGAAGAAAGTGGAGCTCTAGCCTTATGTCTCAGTACAACGTGTCACTTGTTTTAACAGTTGGGTTAAACGGGTGTGCAAATTTTACTAGTGTCCAGAAGGCAGTAGATGTTGTTCTGGATTTTACTCCACTCAAGACTTTGATTCTAATCGATTCTGGTACTTACAGGTAATTCATTATCTCGTCAAAACTTTCTCAAAATTTGATACTTTAATAATGTTTTTGTTAAATAACATTAATTTTATTAAGACTTAAACTGATAAAAATGAATATAATAAATTATCATAATTTAACATATCTATTTGTACTCAAATTTGTTAAATGAAAAGATTAAGGTAAATATAAACTTTGTAAATTAAATTTGAGTTAATAAATATAGCATTACATTTGAAAATTCGAGCCCATATCTATAGAGCCTCATTATTTAATTTATTTATTTTTAAATATATATACATATGGTGTCAGGGAGAAGGTAACAGTTCATGCTACCAAGACAAACATAATCTTTCAAGGTCAAGGCTACTCAAACACAGCTATATCGTGGAATGACACTGCAAATTCCACTGGAGGAACAACCAATAGTGCTTCAGTTTCTATCTTTGCTCCAAATTTTACCGCTTATAATATCAGCTTCGAGGTATAAATCATAAAGAACCAGAATTTCTTATTGGGTAATTTTTAAATTAAATTATTTATTTGTTATAAAATTATATTAATCTTTTTACTTTGTGGTGTGTTGTTATTGATAAGAACACAGCTCCAGAGCCAGACCCGGGCGAAATTGGGGGTCAAGCAGTGGCACTTAGAATAGGAGGTGATCAAGCTGCATTTTATGGATGTGGGTTTTTTGGTGCTCAAGACACCCTTCATGATGATAAAGGAAGACACTATTTCAAAGAATGTTTTATTCAAGGATCAATTGATTTCATCTTTGGAAATGGTAGATCATTATATGAGGTATTAATTTAAATCAATATGTATGTATAATTAGTTTTTACCCAAATAAGTATAGGAAGATTTTTGTTGTTATGATTGGTAGGATTGCACCATTGAGTCAATAGCAAAAGAAGGATTTGGTGGGGTTAGTGGGTGCATCACGGCTCAGGCCAGAGAGTCAATGAGCGAGGAAACAGGCTTCTCCTTTGTGAGTTGTGCGATTAGTGGATGTGGGCAGGTCTGGCTCGGACGAGCTTGGGGAGCTTATGCCACTGTCGTCTTCTCGAAAACATATATGTCTTCGACTGTTTCTCCGGATGGATGGAACGACTGGACAGATCCCATGAGAGACCAGTCCGTTCTTCTTCTTCTTCTTCTTCTTTCAATATACTTTGTTCTTTCTTTATATTTACGTAAATTATTTGGTTGGTCTAGCCCAGACGGTTCTCTCAAAAAGGTGTCGGTTGCTAATAATTGATTAATGTTGGATTACAGGACAGTATACTTCGGAGAATATGAATGCTTTGGAGCTGGAGCAGACCATAAACATAGAGTTTCATATGGAAAACAACTTCTGCAAAATGAAGCAGCTCCATTCATGGATGTTTCATACATTGATGGGAATCAGTGGCTCCTTCATCAAAACATTACTCTCTCTACTTCTCCTCACCATTATGATCAAGATAATGTTGTACCCAACATGTAAACACTTAAAAAACATAATTGTAGTTAATATATATATATATATATTACTACTTATGGAATTCTAAAAGAGTGTAGAAATAATCGAAAGAAAAAGTTTGAAAGCCAGAGAAGCCAACGGAGAGACCCAGTTTCCTGAACTCATCTTCTGTACGGTGCTTACCCTTAGCCCTGTAGATTGTCATTACAAATATGTCTCCTTCTAGTAGCGCCCGAGTCCGGTGGCTCGAGTCGGACTCCGCCGGCAGCACCGGCTCGCACGCTATCAATTTTCCCCCGGCCGGCAAAGCCTTGTAGCAATTCTCCATTATCAACTTGCATTCTTCGTCTGTCCATGTCGTCAAAACCCACTGTCCCACACACAAATATATATTTATATGATCAAAATAATTTAATAATATCAGTTACTATATATTATTAAACTAATATAAAATATTATCAGAAAATATGATGCTTGTATTTTAAGACATTTCCAATTCTTGAAAAACACTTGTCAAAAGTAAAGCGTGAAAAGATTCGTTTGGTTTGGCAAGATTAAGAATCGTGGATGGAGGCGTTTTGTTCCGACGTCATCATATATATACATATATATATATATATATAAACATGGCTTTGGAAGGCTCTTATTTTTTAATATATAAATATTAAATATATGATGCGAATCGAACTGATCTGACTCATAGGTCCACCAAAATCCACTTCTGACAAGCTTGTCACCTCCACGTAAATTAAAGTGGACCGGACAACCACCATTTAATTTATATATATATTTATACAGATATATATATCTATATACGACTCATACATTAAATGTAATGTACTGATTATGTAAGTCTTTTTTTTTTTTTCTATAAAAACATGAAAAAAGAGAGAATTTAGAAATAATTAAACGCACCTTCATGAAGATAGCATCACCAGCAGGGATTGACTGAAACATGTCACCACCCACATGCTTCACTCCTGCACCAATACCACAACACACACACACACACACATATATATATATGTATAATTTTATATACAACATTAAATGTGTTTGAACAATTATGATATTTCTACTTAATAATAATAAAATGAGAGTATCTCACCGGGGATGTTTGGTGCTTTTGCGACGACCTCCGGGAGGTCAAAGTTGATTCCTTCACGTACATTGGGATGTTTCTGTAAGATCATCCGTAGACAATCCCCTGCACTCCCACCCACATCCACCAATCTCTCTACACCCTCAAATCCATCGTAACCGTCCAACACAGCCTTCATGAACGGCACCGATACTCCCGACATCGCTTTCAACATCAGCCCGTTCATCCCCGGCTCCTTCCCGTACTGCACGTACGCAGCCTCTCCATTGGCCTTAACGAACGGCTCCGATCTCGGGTCAACCACCGCTTCGTGCACCAGCGGCCACGCTCTCATCAATGCATCCTTCATTCATTTCACCACATTTTTTAATATCTAAACGACATCGTTTCATCCAGTTCATGGACGACGTTCCCGGATCTGTCTAATCGAGAGTAAAGGAGGAAGAAATAACCTGGTGGTGTTGCAGAACGTAAGCGCCATAAGAGAGGCCGTCGGGGCCGGTGACGAGGGTTTTGCCTATATCAGTAAGGGAGTATTTTCGCTGGGAGCCGTCGGGGGTGATGAGGTGCTCGGCAAATACACCGTAGCTGGTGAGCATGCGGAGGATGCGCTGGAGGTTTTCTGGATCAGCATGGTCGGAGGATGAGGACGGGAGGGCACGTGCGAGGATGTCGGAGGCGGAGAGAGGGGTGTTGGCGCCATCTTGCCAGATTGCATCAGCAGCGTTGAGCCACACGATTGCGTTGAGCGACATGGGGACCCTGATCATGTTGGCGAGTTCCATGATTCAGAGTCTGGCTTGGATCCTGCTCTCTCAGCCGTCATCTGCCCTGGTTGTTTTGATTTGGTTAATCCGTTGATGGGGAAAGGAAATGGTGGGTTTAGAATTAAATAGAAGCAGGAAACTAGTTGTTTTACCAGGGGACTGTTTGTTTGTTCCTTATAAGATGTATATTTTTTTTGTCTTTTAGATTTTTCTTAAAAATTACAAAAAAATTATTTATAATAAAATTAAAGTGAAAAAAGGTGCAATTATATTATTTATAATAGTGTGTTTTATATATATATATATATATATATGTTTTTTCACGAAATAATAAAACCGTTCTTATTTATTTCGGATCACGTGAAATTCTCATTATATTTTATTTTTAATTATTACATATGCTTTTTGATGTAAATATATATATATATTTAAAATTTAATGGAAATTATTTTTATTTAATAATCAAACCTTTTCTCTTTCTTGTTAATTTTCACGTGAAAGAGGCTGATAGGTTTGGAGGAATGACATCCATCCCTGGCTAGAGTAAAAGAGTGCGATGCATTAAAATATATTTTCAATTATTTTTTGATTGAACTATATATATATATATATCTCGTTCAACTGCATATAAGGGTAGCAGAAAAACATCCTTCCTTGGGGGCCAGAAATTTCATAAGAGAATAGATTAAATTGCCATCCCCCTGCATCTCTCATACTTTGCATTTACTTTTTTTTAAGCCCTTATCAATGTAACATTGGCTACTAGCTACACTAGAATTTCAAGATCAATCTATGGGGATTTTGCCCCTCTAATTGGTAAATTAAACTTACAACTTCGGTAGTGACAAAACAATAAGGGTAATTTACAGTTTTGCTTCAAGGGGAAGAGAAAGATGAGGAGTTAACTCGAAGAGAACTCACTGTAATTGCACGCCGTCACAATAACGACATCAATTTGTGCGACTAGGTCAGGCAACAAGTATTTCTAACTATTTTTGGACTGGAGTTCGGATATGATTAATTCAGATGATTACATATTACATTTCGTTGGGGGGAAATGTAAAGAATTCTTGTATGCTCTTCCAATGGGAGAGTAGAAGAATCAGAGCATTGTTCAGTAACAAATAATGTCCAACAATTTATATACAAATTTCCAACTTACCAAGAAAGGAAGATGAAGCTCACGACATTTTTTTTTGTCGTTGGCTCAGCTTCATGTACAAGCCCTGCATTTCGACAATGTGTTAGAATGCAAATACAAGCAGCATCAATTTGTCAGAAATTAATTACTTTCTGGGTTAGATCCTAGTTAGGTATTTGTTTTGAGTAATTCCTATGTTTGACAACCCTCTTCATCAAACAAGAAATGTACAATAAATAGACTTGTTTCCCCTCAATAAAAGCTTCTAATGGATAATTGCTTATATATGCTAGGTTAAACCTATAGAAAAAGAACTTACATTAGTCGTATGAATTGTAGCTCCAGTAGTCATTCCAATATTCTGATCAGGAACCAGTTCAAAGTTCAGCCGCTGGACAAAAACTGCAAGCCCAACAATGGCTTCCAGTAAAGCAAATTGATCACCTACGCACTTCCGAGGTCCTCCACTGAATGGAATGAATCTGTGGTAGGCAGAAATCAATATCCAATATTTTAAGCAGATATATGAAACCAAATAGATCAATTCTGAAAAGCTTTCCACTACAATAACAGAAGAAATAAAAATGTTAAAAGATAGCAGCATGTTAAACAGGTTGCAAGTAATCAAATACCTAAAATCTGTATTTGTTTCATTGGGCACTGGACTTTCTAAGTGGAATCTTTCCGGTATAAAATCGTCTGCTCTTTCCCAGACCTTGTAAAAGAAAAAGTTTGAGAAATGATGAGACATTATGCACCTAGAGCATTCTTGGTTGCCTAGATGATGAAAAATAAGGTGTAAATTATTCATTTTATTCTCATTTTTTACGAACATGAACAACTCAGAAGATATAACTTAAAACCATCTTCATGAAAACATAACCAGAAATCTTGAGTTTTTTCTTTATGCATATAATCCAGGAAGGAAAAAGAACTCAAGATTCTACCATTTTGACCATAAGTTTTCTTTAGCTCAAATCTACTGTTGAATACAGGCATTTTGTCCCATAATTATGAAAATGAGCTGAGTGAATAGGAACTAAAGCCCCAGTTTAGAAGGTTAAGAACCAATTGCAAAGTTATTATTCTAGCATGGGTACCCAGCTTGGATTTGAAGCATACTTAATTTTACCCTGTAGCAACCATTGTGGAACATGAAGGTGAAAATTCATTTCGATAAAGTTTACCCAATGACCCACTAGAAATCTCTAATTTTAGTCATATCTGGCCAAAATAATTCCAGGACTAATATCCTGAATCTCAAAAAAGCAGGAAAAAGAGAGAGAGCATATATTTGGTACCTGTGATGAATGATGTATGTTATATACTGAAATCATTATATCCTGACCAGCATTAACCTTATAACCTCCAGGAAACACATCATCAACTTGGGCTCTTCTTATCAGGACCTAAACGTACAAAAATGGCAGATATAAAAGCTTCAGGTCAAAAGAATCAGTCTAGCACATTTTATTACAGTTTCTTTGTGTTTACTAGGAGTATTATAATTTACTTAAAGAGGAAGAAGGTGGTATGCAACCTACAGGAGGATGTGGATATAGACGCAAGGACTCCATAATGCAACGTGTCAAAAACTTCAGCTCCTTTACGTCTTCATAGCTGGGAAGCCTTCCCTGCAAGACTCTGTCAACTTCTTCCTGAGCTTTTATCAATGACGAGGAATCCTGCAGAGAGAACAAATGTATTAAAAGTTCACGTCTTATGTGGCTTTTCATATCATATTCATACATGAACATGCATTAGGTTAAATTAAGGATCGACAGAACATTATATTTCCAATGCTAGTTTCCTCAGATCACTTCTAAACAGTTAAAAGATAAACAGGAACATCGCTTCCCCACTCACTTGAAAGATAAAACCCAAAAACATAAGAAGGAAAAGCAGAGAACATTATATTGTGCTTAACTAATTGAGGTTTGAGTTCGACAAAAACCCCAAAAGAAAAATAAATTATTCACATAAATAGTAGGATTACCGATTACCTTGCTCAGAAGATATAGTGTCCAAGTCAAAGCTGAACCCGTGGTCTCATGACCAGCAACTAGCATTGATAAAAGGTCATCTCTTAATTGTACACTTGAGACCTAAACAATAAAGAAGTACCGTGTTAATTTTAAGAGCAATACAGCATGTAGAGGACTAAATAAGGAAAAGGCATAGTGTGATTTAACAAATATTACAGTGATAAAAAAGTAGACAACTAGGAAGTCTTCCTCATAGAAATCAACATATGGCATAGGCATAGAGAACAAAAAACGAAGCATCCAAGAAATACAATGCAAACCTATTACTAAACCTATCAAGCAATGACATTGAATTTACCTCACAGTTCATAGTAATTACAGTATTCATGATATGCAACATGCTAATGATGCTTTCACAAACTTTTCTTCAGAATTGCAAAATTAACACTCAACTCAACCCAGCTCAAACAAACACAACTTCAGTAGTGACAAACATAAGCTAGAGCAACTAGTCCTATATAAATATGGGGCCACATGGACTCTTTATTGATTCAAAGTAAGGGCTTTAAGAGATTCCACTATGGACTGGAGTAAAAAGGTTATTAAATAACTATTATTGTTTGGTGGTGCTTTAATTCCATAAGTAGAAGCTGAAGAATCTTGCAAAAGAAGTAAAACATCACTAAACAAAAATACTTCAAAAAATCAATTCTTTCCCTGCCCATAACATGTTTAACATTATGAAACCTTGTTATGAAGTATAATCTAGTCAAGTCCTGAGTTCTGCAATCATTTCTATCCTCCAGCCTATTTCAACAAGAAAAAATTGCAATGAAGATATAAAAGAAGTCAACCTCTTCTCTGCTTGCAAGCAAGAACCGAAGGATACTTGGATCCGAGTCATTTACGTACTCGTCATCATCAACCCTTTCACCTTCATTTTCCACAATCTCTTTGCATTTTGCTATTAGCTCCTCAACAGTTTTCCGAATGACAGTCACAGCTTCTTCAGCTTTTATTTGTCTGGGGATTATCTTACACAAAGGTTTGATCTGAGAAAAAAAAAACAAAAGAGAGAAGTTAGCAGAGAAGATCCAGTTACATGAAACATAAATTAAAAGGCAGGACGAGGTCACTAAAAACCAACATGCCTTCCAATAGGGTAAAAGATCCGTGGAGCGAGCCTCTGCCTCTTTCAATGCAGTGTAAACAGCATCAATAACAGGGCTATCAGCAGTTAGAGCATCGAAGTTGTAATTAAACACTGATAAACCAATAACGTCGAGAGTTAACTGAGAGAAACTTTCTTCCATGTTTACAGCAGTGCCATTAAGCGCATAAGGTTGCAGCTTCTCCACCAACCTCTCCGCACATTTGCAGAACACTCTATCCACAATCACAGACAAGTACCTCTTATGCAGAGATGGAACCACAGCCCTCCGCCTTGCCTGTTCTTAAATAACATGTCCATGGTCAAATGAGATAATACTGAAGCAAACAGACGACTGTTAAGGAACAGTAATTACATGTCTAGTTAAATGTACAGAAAAGCACCATTTATGAATCACATCCTGACCAGTTTTCTAAATTGAGAAATTTACATGGTTGAGATTTGTATACCGTCCAAAGCGGACCCTCGGCGATGGCAAAACCCGATCCGAAGAGAAATTCGGAGACCTCAGCAACGAGCCCTTTCGCATACTTGCCATAATTCCTCAACACATGCTTCGCAATTGCCGGGTCACTCACCACCACAAAATTCCGGGGACCCGCGGCAAGCCGATAAACGGGTCCATATTCGTTCATCCATTTGTACAACGGAAGGAACAGAGCACCACCGAGAAGATCAGACACGTCCTCGAGCTTGGCGCTTGCAATTGGTATTCCCGAATCGTCGTTCTGAGCTGTGAGCGAGCGAGCGAGGGAAGTCAGCCAATCCGGACTAACCCATGAAGCGGATTTAGATGTGTTGTTGGAGGTGGGTTTCGGTTTTTCAATGGAGGCCTTGGTGGAGAGAGAGTGGCGAACTGAATCGTAATTGGAAGATAGAAGAGTGGTGGGTTTGCGGAAAGTGCTGACTGGAGAGAATGTGGCGACGTAGAGTGAATGCATGGTTTTTGAGTGTCGCAAGAAGAAGAAAACGACTTAATGGCCTTCGTCTTCTCTCACTCTCATAACCATGGCTAAGCTGCAATGTAAAGCGGCAAATAGCTCTGAGTGAAGTTGGCATCTCGGAATCTAGGAGGGGGGGATGGGATAAGGGAACATTGATACGCAGCGTTTTGATCGGTTTGCTGGCTTGGGCTGAAACTTTAAAATTGAATACGACAAAATCCAGCCCAATATTATAAGCATTGGCATAAAGGCCCATGATCCAGATTTGGACGACCATTTCAACATTATACGGTGTATAATTGAAAAATTCTATACCAAAAAGATTAAAAAGTTGAGAAACTCTAAAATCTTAATTCTAACCCTAATCTTATACTTTAAACCCTAAAATCCTAATCCTAAACCTTAAATTTACACTAAAATTTAAAACCCTAACCCTAATCATAAAATCATAAGCCATAAAAACTAATTAAAACTGACTGTTTGCACAAAAATAACAATATTCATACTAACTATTTAGCTCGTTGAACTTACAATATCATTATGTGAAGATGACTCAACCTTCAAACGACCTTCATGCTCATCTTAACTTAGATCATCGCGATACTTCTTAAACCCTCTTTATTGGACAATTTGTCGTTTGTCTTTATTACTCATGTTTTTTCTTTCCAAATTAAAAAAAAAAAAAAAAAAAAGTGTGAGTATTTTATCATTTTTATTAAAATATTTCTAAACTTTTAACTCAATTATAACTAAATCTAATAGCTTGAGAAAATTATAATTCAATTTTTTTTTTTTTTTTGGGATCAGTTTTTTTAAAGTAAATAAAGGTAATTATAAATAATAAAATTTTCTACCTTCAATTAAAATTCAAAAGCATGTTATATAGATTTGGGAGTTACCTAACTTTGAGTAGGAAATATTGAAATTTATTTGTTTAATATATAACAAACGATGAAGACGAAGACCAACGACTGACTCGTCGGTCAAATTTTCAATGAAGTCGGTCGAGTACAAGTCAAGGAACATGTACACTCGCTTACTAAACTTTTAACATTCAAATTTTCATTTTTCACTCCATCTAATCAGTTACCGCAGTCCTTTTTGGACTGTAATATATGTATATATATATATACATATATAATATTAAACAATAATAATAATTAAAAGAATTTCGTGATTCATTGAATTGGGAAGAATTTGATGCATTTGAAGTTGTCAAGATTCTAATTTTAAACAACGATAATTATATGTACTGCGTATCACATATTGACTCAAATATAATTTTAATTGTTTTATTACTTGTTTTAATTTAATATAACGTGTAATTAGTATTTATATATGATATATGTTATTAAATTACTGATCCATATAAAATGTCACGTGATACTTAACGTAATATCTAATTAAAAAATAATTACGTATGAATTAATTTGAATTGGTGTAATATTTTAAGAGAACCAAAATATATTTTAATTAGTCCGCACAATAATCTATTTTAATTTGTCATGTAAAAACTAGTTAAAATATATTTTTTGAATTTTTTTTAAAATATTGAATCTTTTTAAGTCGATCTATATGCAATTTTTTTTTATGTTCGTATCAAATACTAAATAACATTTTACGTAGTCTCTGATATAAATTAGTGATCACCAAAAAAATATCATGTATTAAAGAGAAGATGTACGTGACGTGACGTATGAAGATTGACTAATTCAAACAAAAAAAAGTACGAAAATTTTAAATAGTTTGATTATTTGATACGGACAAAATGTATGATTAAATGGGAAATGATTCTACCTTAATATCATAGTTATCACTTCAGAAGATTATTTGTAGTATGCAAACAAGAAATTAATGGATAGGCTATCAAATTTCATATTTTTTTGCCCGATTATTTAACTTTTATATATTTTTTTATGGGAAAAAAATGATTAAGAAAAAAAAAAGACAGACATAAAGTCTTTTTCATTAAATGATAACTTTCTTCATCACCTCATGAATATGATCATATAATATTTATTTCTATTTTAATGGAGCCCCCTTTGAAACACTCATTGTTTGCATCCTCATTTAAATTCCAATTACTTGTGTTATCATTTGAATTGTGAGACTTCCAAGCTCATAAGATTCTTAATTCACCAATTTCTTACTATTAAAAATATGTTTTTAAATAAAAATGATAATGATATGAGATGGGTATTGGACAAATAGACTTTTTTTTTTTTTTTTCTTGCATGTTTGATCACAAAATTTCATAAAAACTTTATTTGTTCTAGTCTCATTATCTACAATATTAATATTTAGATCATTTAATTTAGTGTTTTAATTCTTTATATGCCACTATATTTCAAATTAAAATTTTTATTATTGAATTTTTATAGTTCTTCTTTAAAATATTGATGATGAATCAATTAAACTACCACTTAAATAAATAATTTACTTGCATTTGAATGTTAGCTAGGTGAAAATTTTTTAGCCTTCAATCTACAAGCAAGAAGATGGAATAACGATGTGAAATGTAAAAATTTTATCTACTATAAAACATGTGCAATCAAGTAAGTAAAAATTATAAAAAGAAAAGTGCAGCAATTTAAAAATTAAAAAAAAAAAATAGAGTAGTAAGAAGTTATCTTTTATGAGATTGAAGAGACATTTATAGAATTTAACTGTAACGATTTTAAATCATGGACTAAAATAAAATTTTAGTCATCTGGATGGTTTCTCCCACATATTATGAGTTGGTAACAATTTGATAAATTTGAGAATGTCAACTCACATTATGAGATTCCTTAGTTTAAGGATTATCTATTTAGTATAATTAGTAATATCAATTTATAATGAGATATTTAAATAGTTTAGATATTTATTATTTTAATATTTAGTAGTACTCAGACCTAACTTTATGAAGAGAAAATATTTTATTATAATATCAAGTGACCATTTATGATAACTAAAGTTAGAAATATTACAATCTACTTTCTCATCTTAATTGCCTAATAATATTAACGTTATATTTTTTAAATAATAAGGTAAAAATTTTGGTATAATAAGTAGAATAATGTAAGATATATAGAGTAAATGGCAAATAAAGTATCATATTGGACTTATTTCAAGAGATAAACTTTGTATTGATATATTAAAACATTAGAAATATTATGGCAAGTTGTGTTATTAATTTATCTCACGAAAAATTTATATGCACAATTGATTTTTTTGTAGTGTTATAAAATGATTAAAACCTCTTATTTATTTATTTTTCATTTTTATCCTTCAACAAGATTACTTTTATAGTCATATCATTATTTTTGTTATCACTATTCACAACTTCCATCTCTATTATCATCACAATTGTCTTGACACCATTACTTCTACTAGTTTTGTCGTTAATTTTACCACCATCATTTTTATTATTATTATTATTATTGTTATCACTATTGCAGCATAACTATTGTTTCTATCTCTATTTTCTATGCTACTTTCTTCGTTATCATTATCACAAATGATATTTTTATTATTACAACACTATTATTACCATCAATATTTTTAATATGGATTAAATTTTTTAATTATATTTCTCTTTTTTTTTTTTTTGTAAATTACCACAACATATATTATAAGATAAAAATAAATATCAGTAATTTGTCTTACTAATCTAATAAATTTATTGTAATACAATATTCAAATGTATAACTCACCTAATTAATTATACGCATTATACTTATTTTAAGGTCAGTCAATTGTAGATACTCCTTGTGTTATAATAATGTGAATTAATTTATTTAAGATTATGTTATTCAAATGGCATAATACTGTTTTTTTCCGAGAGTAGAGGACTAGATTTCTAATCCTACTCCATCCTTAAGTCAAAAAAACAATAAAAACTAATTAAAAGTCAACTACCCAATTGGCATGCATATATACAGTATTCATTCATTATTTCTAACACCAGCTCAAAAAAGAATAATACAAGTTAATTATGTCAACTACTCAATTGTCATGCATATATATAGTGTTCATTCAACATTTCTAACACCAGCTACCAAGTCATTATGCATCATGACATTTTGTAGATTGCCTGGTAGTTGGGGATCTGGGTTTAATTCTCACAATTGACCCACAAATGAGGAATATAATATATATTTATATGTGTATTCTAAAAAGGGAAATTACTCACTACAAATAATGATTGCTACTGAAATTGAAATTGATGGGTACTTCAATTAATTTCAACTTAAAATGTGTATATATATATATATATATGTAAATAATAGTCAGAAGAATATATATTCCTTTCCCTCTAATTTCTTGATCTGACGAGTACAATTTGTTCAAGTCAATTTCCGGGTCTCCAAGAAATTCTTCCTTTTGGGCTCACAAGATTTGATATATTCAAGAAAAGTAGCGAAGTCTGTGTCCTTGTAGCGTCTTGGATTTTCTTCATCTACGAGCTTTGAATATGGCCTCACAGTGCACTTCAACGGCAGACTATGCAACGATGCCACTGAAATCCGAGGCTTATGGGAGTTTACCAGAACTCGATGCAGCACACTCTTGTACCTTCCGTTGCTAAATATCTACAATATTCAAAAATATCACCTCAATTATATATATATATATATAGTATGGAAGAAAAAATGAATTACACGTATAAATTAATAATTACCTCAAGATGGTCACCGACGTTTACGACAAATGAATTGGGAATGGGTTGAACAGTGATCCATCTATCTTGAAACTGAATTTGCAGACCTTCAACCTCATCTTGAAGGAGCAGAGTGAGGAATCCGTAATCTGAATGCGGTGGCATTCCGAGAGTGAGCTCCGGTTCCGGACAAGGTGGATAGAAATTTACGACCATTAGCTGGCTTCCATCTTCGAATTCCTTCAGAATTTCATCATCTTCTCCTGTTTTTTTCTTCTTGTTCCCACCAAATACTTCCAAACTCTCAACAATGGCCTCCACTAACATTATAAACAAGTGTTTCGTCTCTTTCGCGTAGTTAGCCGCCAATTCCCTGTAGTACATTAATATATTTATATAAAAATATAATCATATTATAATAATTAACTATATAATATTTATATTTAAATGAGTAGGGGGGGAGCAGGAAGGGAGCCTTCACGAATCATGGAACTTGGTTTTAAACGTAATGAAATTATAATATAATAATTAAGGGCATTAATCATCATTATTGATTACCTGAAGTCAATGGGAGAAGAAGGCCAATGAGGGAGAGTTTCAGAGATGGGATGGCACATGAGCTTCAAGAAGTCTCTCCAGCAAAACACATTGTCTTTGGTCTGGTTGAAGCTTGTCCCATATCGGACCGTGGCTCCCATGTCCGGCGACATGTACTTCGATCTCTCCTCGTACGGCATCTCGAAGAACCTCGTACTTACATCAATCATGCTGTTTATAGCTTCACTTGGAATCCCGTGGTTCACTAACTGCGCATCATCACCATCATGCACCATTAATCAAGAGAAGTGCAGATCGAAATTCCAAACATATATCTATATACATATACTCACCTGGAAAAACCCATATTTCTCACAGGCATTAGCTAGGGTTCCGAGGACTTCCAACTTGTTTGGACCTAGCAACTCGGCTAAATCAATGATGGGTAAAACGAGATTTTCCTGCTTTTCTGTATTTGGGTCCGGTTTAGCCGAATTGGGTCTCTCAGAAAGAGGCAATACGTACTTGTTTGGCACCTTTGTTAAGCCATTTTCCCATAGATGCTTTACTCCTTTCTGAAACTGAACTTCGTTGTCCGCCATGGTCGTGTGATCACGAGTTATTGCTACTGCTGGTGACATATTTCCAACTTCAACCACCTGCACCAAAGTATTTATAAGCCAAGGGTTTTATCTGTAATAATATATCTATGTCTCATGAATATAAACATAAAAAATCTAGAGAGATTTGGGCAATTGGGTGAAGTTGATGAATAAAAATGAGCAAGTTGCAGGGGAAGCGCATGCTACCTTGTGACTAGATTAGTATAATGAAGGAGATTGATGAAGCGACATAAAGAAAGCGAAGGGTATATATAGAGGTTGGGAAAATGAAAGGTTAAAAACGGAGGTGTAAGCTCTGGTTTTGAGCAAACCGGCTTCGGTTTTGGAATCCGGAGGACTGACTGGTTCCAAACCGTTGACAAATGACAAAGAGTCAGATCAGAGAGGTAGGGACAGACCATCCCTCCTCCGCGTATATACTCTAAATACATACGCATATGTGTTATACATACATATACATTTATATACTACAGTATGTACATGTACATATATATAAATATTGATAAAAATATTGTTCTTTATTTAGTTGGGTCGTCTACGATCTTGATGGTAATTGTTTATTGACTAGCTCCTTCTGTCTGCCATTGAATGAGAACCGAGTAAGCTGGCGGAAGAATACGGTGGCTGACTTTTGGCATGCAGCTAAAATTGGTCGTAAGGATCGGGTCCATTTTCTTGAGTCGTCGTTGATTCTGCTTTTTATAGTATTTACGGTGTAATTTCTTTTTAAGCGAAAATTATAATATAAAATAATTATTTTAAAAACATTTAATTGGTAGATACTATACATAATATAATTAACATATTTTAAATTTTCAATTAAAATAATTTTAGTATAAAGTCTATCAACTCACATGTATATTCCCGTGGGACATCTAATAATTGTTCATTACATTTCAAATCACACAATCAATTATATATTAATACATATTTTTGGATTAAGAATCTGTGACTAACTATTTACATGCATAACTAATGATAGATGAAGAATAAATAGAAAAAAAAATACCGTTATTATTATTTGAAAATTTAATTTTTATAATAGATTTATAAATTCTTATATTATTTTATTTAGATCCATAAATTCATTAATTATAAATTCTTAGACACAGTAGTTTAATTATAAGTTGCATCTTTTTTTATAATAAAATCTACTTCTACATTGATTAATAAAATTTTTAATACATTCCAATTATTTCAATTAAAAAAAATATATTATTTTTTTATCCACGAATGAAGTAACATCGCATTTGATATTAACAAATTATTTGAGAGATCAATATGATAATTAACAATACATACGTTCTAACTATATTATTTTCAATTATTATTATATTATAAAACAAAAAACATTAGTATTAAAAGTAAATAAATAAATATATAAAGCGTACCTTTTTCATCGAGCAAAATATATAGTATGTTTACCTCGTGTCTCCTTGTAGTTTTTCTTGTCTGCGGGAATAAATTGCTACCTCTAAAACTCTGAACTATTTATAGGGAAAATATAAGAAAAAGAAAAATAAGAGGAAAAAATTAATTAAAATCAAATAGGATATTAGTAACTAATTATAATTAATAATTTAGATTTTGCTTTCTAAATAATACTAAGGATTTGGTCATTAATTCGAATTTGATCCTAAATCTTAAAAGAATAAATAAAACCTCAAAAATAGAAAGGAATCCAAACGTAACCCAAACGATATCCCAATATAAGAATTTGTTCCATAAATTCAACTTTTTTTTTATATATATAATAATTGGATTTGATTTTGTAATAAATAATTTGAATTGTAATTTGGTATGAATTGTAAACAGATTTTAAAACCCAATAATAAAATCTTAATATTTATAATTTAATTAAAACTAAATCTAGCCATAATTTTTTAATTTAATTAAAAATTACAATGCTCACAATGGCTATTAATGCAAAATTAATTATAATTCAAAACTCCACCCGAAGCAGAGCACAGGGACACGAATACTGAACGCAAAACCTAAGAGTCAAAAAATCATTTGGGGCAGGTAACCACTATGAAAGAAATCTAAGACAATACTTCAAATATATATAAGTTTTACAATTAGATATAAAATATAGTTGGTAGACTCTGTAAATATAATTGATTTTATTTCTACAAAATT